CTGGCAGCACTCACAGAAACAAGGGGCCCACCAAGAACAATCTGCATGGGAAGTCTATGTCTTCCAACTGTTTGAGATTGTATTTCAAACATAGGAACTACCATCTCCGGTGACCTCCCTCCGTGCAGAGAACAACTGGCTGGGGTTTTCAAGGCAGTATGACCTCCAGAAACAGATCGCCAGGCCTTTCCTCCATGGTGCCTCTCACTCGCCCATTCACTCATTGCCATTGCATTGATGCCGACTCATCGTGACCCTATAGAACAGAGTAGAGCTGCCCCTGGGGGTTGCAGAGACTGTAAATCCTTACAGGAATAGAAAGCCAGGCTTTATATAAAGGAGCAGCTGGCGGTTTTAAACTGCTGACTGCTCATAGCAGCCCAAAGTGTAGTCCACCACAGCACTCGGCCACTGGGCCACCAGGGCTCGGGTGTCTCTGGCCAGGTTGAAACCACTAGCCTTGCACTTGGTAGCTGAGTCCTTAACTGTGCCACCTAGGACCATACAACTTCTGAAATGATTTCATTTCTAAAAGGCCTTTACCCAATGTAAGAATTCCTGGTGGCACTGTATGTTAGGATATGGGCTACTAATCACAGGTCAGCGGTTCAAAACCAGGTTTCTCTGAGGGAGAAACACGAGGCTTTCTACTATCTTCCCATAAAGAGTTACCGTCTCACCCACAGGGGCAGTTCTTACTCATCCTATAGCATTGCTATGAGTCAGAATCTACTCAATGGCAGTGAGTCAGGTTTGGGTTTGAGCCCAAAATTAGCATTTTTCTTAAAAAAAAATTAGAACATGAAGGCAAAACTCAAGAGTCCTCTGGCCTGGTTGCCTCTGGAAGGCTTTTCCTTACACCAGGGCCCCCAGAGTACGGAAAGGTACTGGAGTCCTCGAGGCTGGGATTGGGGTCAAAGGCAGATGTGAGCTCCACAGGGCAATTCTGCTCCCCAGTCCCACACACCCAGCTCAGCCCCAGTCCTCCAGCTCTTTTCTCCAATGCGACATTTGCATGTCATCTTTGCACCCAGCGGCGGGTTAAAGGGTAGGCCACAGGTGGAGAAAAATCACAGCAAGCCCCTGCTTGTTAGAGGTAAAGCGGAAGTCTCCCCCAACCACTTGCAAGGCTCGGGAGAACCCACGGTCACTGCCTCAAGCCAGACAATTAGCGAGGTCAGTGTTCTAGTCTGACGGGCCTTGAATGTGGCTTTTAAAAGTCAGATTCTCCTTCTTCCAGGCAGACCTGAGGGTTTTCCTTTCTGATGCCATAAGAATACATGTGACCGGAGCAACAAAGAACGACAAAATCTTACAAAACAAAATGTGCATAAGCTGTTAAATGGGAAACTACTATACCCTGTAAGCGCTCTCCCAGTTACAATTAAATATATAGGTATGTAATTTATATATCTTTATATATTTCAATATATTTTATATTTAATTTATATAATTTAAATAAATACATTTCAAGTGTAATTGGGGGTAAATATACACATGACAACTCCCCCCAAAAAGGGGAATCTATAAAATCATACTTCTTCTCATTCATTTGCTAATTCAAAAAAATATTTATCAAGTGTCTGCTGCTCTGGGCCAGCACTGTTTTAAGTGTAGGGGTTCAACAGGAAATAATGCATCTAAAACCCCTGGCTTCGCTGAACCTGGAGCCCTGGTGGCATAATGGTTACCCTTTGGGCTGTGATCCTCAAGTTCGGCAGTTCAAAACCACCAGCCAATCCTTGGGAGAAAGACACGGCTCTGCTCTCCTAAGCAGTTACATCTCAGAACCTCCCAGGGGGTTGCTAGGCGCCAGCAGCCCTCGGTGGCGGTGGCGGGGAGTTCGGGTTTGTGGTTTGTTTGGTTCTCGTTGAGCCTGAGTTCTAGTGTGGGTTCACAGACTGTAAGGAAGATGTTGCTGCGGTTGTTAACAGGGGCTGTCAAGCGTCAGTCACCATGTAGAGGACCACATGACAGTGTAGTGCGGCCTCCCCCAAAGCTGTTGGGTGGTTCAAAGAGCCGATCCTGTGGCTAACAGGCAAGCACTTCATTACTGCACCAGGGCTCCCAATAAACGATCAGAGCTTCCATTCTGAGCACTCAGTTTGCAGAAGGCTATGGATGGCACTGAAAACCTAAAACCCAGGTGCAGGGTTCCCAGATGGATTAAGACGGCATAGAATGCCTTCAGACCTTTAGTAAGGGCTGTGAACAGACATGCAGGCATGCCTTAGTTAAAGTGCTTTAGAGAGTAAAATTGCTCCCTCCAACCAGCCCAGGGAGAGGCAGTCTCCCTTCAGGACTTGCCTGGATGCATCCTTGACGAAGCTCGGGATACTGGGAATCGCAGTCATGAGTCATGTGTGCCTGGTTAATCATGCCCAGACTGCCTGGGTCAGAAGGCCCTGGATCAATCTTGTAAGCAATTCCAGCAATCACATCCATGTCTTCATCCTGTTTCCAGGCCCTCTCCTGGAGTCCCATCTGTAACTGTGATGTCCTGACCACCCCCATCATGACTCTCCATGGCCTAGTACGTGGCTATGATGACCTCCGGCCAATCTCCTTCATCCAGATAACGTGTCCTTGTCTTTGGACGCTTTGAGGTTTTCCTTAATTATATTTGAGATCTGAGGAGAAGTGGCTTGGAAAGTATGTCGAGACCACATTGTTAGTCAAAGTACATATTCTATGCTAGGCGATTGGGTGGGGCTAGATCTGTATCTTAGAAGGCAGCAATGGCAACAGATAACTAATTGGAAGATAGAGAACCTGAAGCCAAGACAAGCTAATGGTAGACTATTACAATTGTCCTGGTGAGACGGATTTAGGGCTAAGGAAGAAGCTGCCAACTGAAGAGGTCTGCTCAGGGTAAGACACCTCTGGTCCGGGTGTGCGTCAGCTCTGGGAGGGAGTACCACCGGGAAGCGGGCCTGGGAAGTAAACGAGGTGAGGCCGGGCACTGGAGAGAAGCAGTGACCTTAGGGGGGTGGGGGGGGGTGGTCTTTGGCTGGCAATAAATATCTTAATTTTGTGTTTATTTGGGGTTGAAGATGACAAATAATTGCCAAGTTTATTTCCTTTCTTTTAAATATGTGCTGACCCACAAACAGTAGAACCAAGATATTTCATCTCACATGTGCAGGCCGAGGCAGGAGTTCTCCTCCAGCTGGTTTGACCAGTATAAGCCAAGATGAGAAAGGGGAACTGTGTATGCTTGGCGAATGTCAGCACCCTGAAATCAAGAGGTCAAGCTTCGAAAAAGGAGGTCAGAGAGAAAGCAGACACATCAGGGGAAAGTTACCTCAGAAGAAGTGAGCTCAAGGAAACCAGGCATGAGGACAGAGAGGAACCAGATGCGGGGGAAACAGGAGAGCAAAGGAAGTGGTCCAGCCCTGGAGGACGAGACCACGAAGATGCTGACTGCGAACCAGCAGAGGGGTGCGCTGGGCACCTTCTCTAGTGCCCCACCCTGGTGTGGTGGACAGGGGGACAGTCTGAGCAGGCCAGGGAGTAAATGCAAGGCCAGAAGAACCCATAACAAAAACACCCCCAGCCTTGCTAAGGCTGGGGGTACATGGTTATCAATGACCCCAAGTGCTATGGGGAAAGAATGATTCCAAACGCCATGGAGGAGGGACGTGTGAGAAACTGGAACTCTGGCCGGGTGGGAGGTGATCTGGTAGTGGAAAGGAGATTTCCTCGTTCACACCTGCCTCTCAGGGACCACTCATTCCGAAACCAGCAAGCAGGCATATATGCAGAGACAGTACACTCCCCCCCACATCCTCCATCTTCCAGTCAGACTTCTCACCTCCTGACTCTTCTCACACCAGCATCCGCTCCCTCAGGAGCATAATGCTGAGCAGTAGGGATGACATTTCGGCTAAATCGTAGTAAAAAGTCTAACAACCGCAAAGCACGTGGCAACAAATACCAAGTGGGATGCTCTAAACCCTCAACCTGGCACCAGGCCGGCAGGAGAGAGCTTTGCCAGAAACATAGCTGGGCCCCAGCACACGGGGCCAAGCCCTTTCGTGTCAGCAGACACTGCATGTAACTGCTGTCCTCGTTGCTCCCTGAGAAACAGAGGTGCAGAAGGAAGGAAAAAAACCTTAATCCTTCCATTATTCTTAACTCCCAACTATAGAGAGCATGCAAAAAAATCCAAAAGCCATCAGAAAGCCTAGCGTATTTTTTTTAATGTCTTGACCCCTTTATCCTCTACAAAAAAAGGCAACCTAACCCCCAAATAATCATTTTTCTTGGCTTAATTTCACTATTTTTGTGCTTTATAATTGGAAACAGACTGCTTTTCCTGGCTTTCAAGAATAAGATCCTCAGGGCCGTAAGAATTACTAACTATAGAATCTCAACCTTAGCAGAATTTCTTCTGCAAATCTCTTACCTACATACCTCCAGGAGGCATGCATGCATTCCAAAGAAAACATTTCAATCCCCTATTATGCATAAGTGAATTTTCTCGTAACCAATTACAGAAGCCCCTTCACCTCATCTTCAGTGCCCACCTTTCCAAACACGGAACTCTGTGGCATAGATCGAATGGACCCTGACTCAACAGTGACCCTCTAGGACAGGTAGAACTGGCCTTGTGGGGAGCCACAGGTGGTTTTGGACTGCTGAGGTTAAGTAGTGCACTGCTCACAACCACTACGCAACAAGGCACCTACGCCCTTACCCCTCCTAAAACCACAAACTGACATGCAGGATCTGACTCATAGAGATCTTCTGTTTTAAAAAATGGGATACTACGTTTGGTCCTCTCTGGAGACCAGCCACTCCGTAGTAGAAAGACAAGGCTCTTTATTCCCATACAGGGCTACAATACGGGAAACCCACAGGGGCAGCTCAACACTATCCTACGGGATCTCTGTGAGTTGGCATCAACGCAATGGCAGGAAAGTGGGTGCTGTGTTTGTTGGTTAGTTTGTTTCTCTTCCATTTAAAACATGACCAAGGGTTCTTGTCCCAGCACGGACCTTCGGTGGGACACTGTCTGGAGAGCTCTTCGAGAGCCGAGTAGAACAGTTCTGCGGTTCTTCGTCACTAGCACACACGGGAGGAGATCAAAACGTTGACTAGCTTAGAAAGCCGCCGCAACCTGAAGATGCCACAACCTGAAAAAGGCATAAGAATGGGGAAGTGGGCTGTAGAAGCAAGAATGACCCCGTTCCAAAGACATCTTACAGAGACCCATTTATAAGTCCCCAAAAGGATGACAAATAAAACCAATCGCCTGGACGGGACCATAGCGGCATCCCAAGGAGTCACAGTCCTGTGATGACTTATAAACAAAGGGCATTCTCGCAAAACCCTGACTGGTGGCCGATCAGTCCATCACAGCCCCAGGTGGAACCACGGGCACAGGAAAGGAACCAAGACTGGCATTCCAAGCAACTGCTGTTGTTGGCTGCCATCGAGCCTGCTCGGACGCAGAGCGACCCTGTGCACAACAGTGAAACGCTGCCCCGTCGGGCGCCCGCCCCACAATGGTTCCTCCGCTCGAGGCACTGTGTCAAGCCATGTCCCTGAGGGCCTTCCTCTGTGGCAGTGCCCCTCTACTTCACCCAGCGTGCTGTCCTTCTCCCGGGACTGGTCTCTCCTGACAACGTGTCTGAAGTCGTATGAAGTCTCCCCATCCTTGCCACTGAGGAGCACTCTCGCCATACTTCTTCCAAGAGGGATTTGCTTGTTCTTTCGACAATCCGTGGGACTTTCAATATTCTTTGCCAGCACCACAATTCAAACACATCCATTCTTCTCCAGTCTTCCTTATTGACTTTCACATGCATATGATGCGATGGAAGATACCATGGCGTGGGTCAGGTGCACCTTAGTCCTCAAAATCCTTGAAGTCACCTGGTTGCTCTTCAACACACCTGCGCAGCAGATCTGCCCAGGGCCATGCATCATTTGATCTCTTGACTGCTGCTTCCGGGAGCATTGTGGATCCAAGCAAGGCGAAATCTTTGACAACTGGAATTGCTTACAAGTAATTACAGATTAGAAAAACTTACAAACTTGGTTCAGGGTCCTCCAACCACCTTGGCCAGGGTCTGACTCAAAACCACCTAATCGAGGACACAGTCAGGCAAGCTCTCGATGGCAAGACTGCCCACCTCTCCCTGGGCTGGCAAGGGCAGTCTCAGCGAGCACTCTGGCTGACAGCCAGGCCTTTTCCAATGCTGGTCAGTGGCCTGGAAGAACTCCATGGAAGCTGCTGCATCTGTGTGGGAACTCAAAATGGATTTAGGCCTCCCCCTCCACTGTGCACCAGTGCCGCACACAAAGCTCGTGCGCAGAATTAAGGCTCCGGTACAAAGGCAGCCGGGGTCCCCTCTCCCCAGGCGCTTGTGTCAGAAGTTCAATGCGCCCCGTGACTGTGCAGCAACTATAATGCACACGAGTGTGATGGATTAACATCAAGGAGGCGTGTCTTCAGGAAACAGGTTGTCAGCCTTTCTTGTTTTGTTTTTTTAATCAGATGGTCCACTATCAATGCACAACAACCCCTCTAACGGCACAAAAATAATAAAATTCTTCAAGAAAGCTTTGGCAAAAAGATACACACCAGCCAGAGTACGCAAGCCCACTCAGAAGATCAGAAACTCCTCACACACACACAGGGGACCTGGTGCTGCAATGAGTGCAAAATGCATGTAATGAGTCGAGGGTGCTTCCCCTCAAATGGAATTTAATTTGCCCACTAGACAAAGTCTAATTTAACGAGACAGGCCATTTGTGTATTCCTGTTGGACACTCGAGAGAGTTTTATGTTTAAGTATGTTTTGTTTTAAAGAACCAACCAGAAAGAAAGAAAGAAGGAAGAAAAGATAGCTCTTAGCAACACAGTATCCCCCCGAAGTACCCAGGGCACCATGTAAACGCAAGGTTTGGCCGTGGAATCTAAGTGTTTCACCTTAAATTGCCTTGCACATGTGAGAAGACGAGGAAAATCTTTCCTTCTTCTTCTTCTTCTTTTGTTCTCCAGCAATTAGTAGACAGTTAGCTCGTTACGGAAAATTAGCAAATAGCCACCCATGTACTATTGAATCCAAGGACCAATTTCATGCTGAATGCTCACAGAATTATACTCCCCAAACTAAATGAAGTATTCACCAAGTTTCCATTAATGAAACATCAGCATGAGACTGAAAAGGAAATCCAGAGTTGCGCTGGACCTCCCATCTGGCCCTCTGGGGGTCTGCATCCACCTTCAGGGGCGGTGAGGCGTCACCTCGCCCTCTGGCTTGGCATGTTCCCCCAGGGCAGTCTGCTCACCCACACAGCTCGGGCGCTGGCATTGTAAGAAGTTGTTATTGGGTGTTTTTTAAAACATCATCTTGTTCAGGGACCAGTCACCTTTCATGTGTTTTTCAAAAATGGTCCCTCTGTAACCGTACACTGACACCTGACCTTCAGCAAGTACCTGGGAAAGGGCTTCTGTTCTGGAGGACAGTCAAGCAGGTGCTGCTGCTCCCCACAAAAAGCCCCCCAAACCTGAAACCCTTTGCCCGTAACAGACATGTTCCCAAGAGGGAGGGTGAAGATAGCTCACTCTCACTGACATGGAGTTGATGCCGGCTCACGGGGACCCTGCAGGATGGGCTAGAACTGCCGATGTGGGTTTCCGGGACTGTCACTTTTTACAGAGGTAGAAAGCCCCACCGTTCTCCCATGGAGCAGCTGGTGGTTTTGAACTGCTGACCTTGTAGTGCGCAGCCCAACTTGTACCCACTATCCCACCAGGGCTCCAAAGTGAAGACAGAGCCAACAATTCAGCCTTCATTCTAAAGTCTTACTGTGGAAAAAGTTTACAGTTAATTTCCAACATGGAACTTTCCCAGATGCTTAGGCTTTGGACTGTTAACCACAAGGTCAGTGGTTCAAACCCACCAGATGCTCCAGAGGAGAAAAGTGAGGCTGTCTGCCACTAACTAGATGGCAGTGGGTTTGGGGCATATCACACTCACTGGCCTCTTTCCAGACTTCAAGGAGCTTCAGCATAAAGGGATCACTGACACAAATACTGAAATAGCAGCTTTTAACATGGCCTAGAGGCGTGGTTTGGGGGTCTGTGTTCTGGACCCCCAAGCCAAGAACATTCAGATGGCTACCAGGCTATTAAGTCTTGATCTCTGGCCTAGAAAACTGAAGGACAAAAAAAATGCAGACGAGGAGCCAAATGAATGATAGTAGCTTCACACACACAAAAATGCCTACTGGTGTAGCCTCAAGCACTCAATATTACGCACATGTTGGTGGAGAGATAAGAAACCATTACTCTATCTCTAAGGGGGGGAGGCTCAATGCTTGGAAATCCATGATAAATCTTAAGCAAGGACATTTCGGGCAGAGAAAATAACTTTCAATGACAGTACACAAAGCAAATGTACTGTTTCAAAAGGTATAAAACAAGATCTCAAAAAGGGCAGAGCCCAGGAACTGGACCCAGATCCTTCTGGTCAGGCCCTTCCAAGTGGTGTTGATCCATTTCTGCCTGACTAGAAACCAAGTGAGCACCAGCTTGTGTTTCATAATGCTAGAAAGAGACAATGCTATCATCTAAGTGTTGCCCTACAGATGTGGAACCGGAAAACTTACTGCCATGAAGTTTGAAGCAGTACTTTTTTTCCCAAAGCCGCAAATGCTCTCGCTGAATTTATTAATGGCTAGCTACAGTTCTTCTCGTGTAACCTAGTCACTATTTCACATTCCACTCGAAGTCCATGTTCCTCATGGTAAGACAAGGTTGCTTTTAAGATACCTAAAAACATTTCTCTAACTTGATTTTTGCACAGTTCGAAGATATTCGCATTTTTTCATTGCAAAAATTTTTAAAGGTGCTTAAAAATAAAAAGGTAATGCTCCATCAGGCAAATTGAATCAGCAAAATAAAGTCAGTCTTTAAATAATTGTTAAAGAATCTTTTTTAAAAGGATCTTTTAAAAAACAAGGTTATGCTCTATTAGCTAATAAATATGACACCTTTGCTTTTGGTCAATAGCAATAGAAGAACAAAATGAATTCAAGGATAATTTCACAAAACAGTATTATCCTAGAAAAATATTTTAGCAAGGTTAATACTTACCAGTTATCCCCTAAACTCCAACAGCCCTGCCTGCTCAGCTTAAAAAACATTAAGGTCAGAAGCTCCCCCAGATTTATGATCCCAGGAAATTAGCATCACTTAGGTACTAAAGAAGTCTGCAGTGATCACCTCCTTAGCCTACTGCCTCAACCCTTTAATACAGTTCCTCATGTTGTGGTGACTCCCCACCCCCACCACAACCATGAAATTATTTTCGTTGCTACTTCATAACTGTAAGTTTGCTACTGTTATGAATCGGGCGACCCCTGTGAAAGCGTTGTTCGACACCCCCCAAAGAGGTCGCGACTCACAGGTTGGGAACTGCAGGATAGTTCAGTTCTCTGGACTCTCTCTGACCTAGAACCTATCCCCAGGAAAGCAGTCCCCTGACCTTTTATAAGATACTATGAAGTCTGCATGCAAAAGAAAAGGCTGAATGATTCGGGGTCTCAAAAAGAAGGGGACAATAGTCTCCTCCAAGCTACCCAAGGTTGTCCATCCACAAAGGCTCCCCATGACAAAGCCCAGGCAGCTCCAAGGAACCTTGGCCTCCTGCTATCTGATGAGTTCAAGGGTCGCCATTTGCCACTTAGCAAGACCGGGAACCCAAAGAGTAGGACAGTTGAAAACTGTTTGCTCAGTAAGTAAACTTCATCAGTGCACAGAAGAAATAAATCAGATCCTAAATAAAATGCTCCTCTGCAGGGTGAGTGCCATGCTGGGATTGAGAAAGGGACTACAGTGGAAGCTATGGCGTTGAAAGCAATACTACAGGAAGAAGGACACGAGAAACACAACGTGGCTACTCACCGAAAGGTTGACAGCTTGAAGCCACTCAGCAGCTCAGAGGACGAAAAAGTAAAGACTATACCTCAGAAACCCGGCGGGCAGTTGAACTCTGTCTCCTACTGTCACTGTGAGTCAGAATCCACTCCTCGGCATCCAATTGGAGCAAACAAGA